TTAATGGCAAGAAGGAGTGTGAGAGAGTGAGAGAGAGAGAGAGAGAGAGAGAGAGAAGCTCATCGTTTATATTCGTTCATCTCGTGTTATTGAGCGTTCGAGACAATTAATCATTCTGCTCCGTACAAAACGTGATAACGTCAAGTCCTCGCCTAGAATATTTCGCATAGTATTTCTGTACGCGTTTACCGACACGCCAAAGGAGGTACGTTTTAAAAGAGATAGAAGATGAAAATGAAGAAGAAGAAGAAGAAGTAGAAGTAGAAGATGATAGCTTGAAGAATAAAGAAATGAATGGAAATAAAAGGAAAGGATGAAGATGAAACGGAAGGAAAGAATAGCCTAGCGACGGTATTTATAATCGATTGATCGAAATATATCTTGTACGTGCATACAATACATATCTGTTTGTATGTATGTATGTATGTACACATGTATTTAAATATATAAAAGGAGTCTCGCAAACATTTTTATCGGCTCGATTAATCTAGTTACTATACACACACATACACACAGACAAAATATATTTAATTATTGTACTATTCATCGCCGAGTATTGATATTATTATTAATTAATTAATTAAGTAATTAATTTTATTAAAAACTAGTCGATCAAAATGAGATACCTTTTATATATATATATATATGTATGTTTTATACGTATGTATGCACATGCATATATATTTTGATTTTTGCAAAGTAACTTAAACCCCAATGTGTTATTTATTATTTTTTAATAAATTCCAACATCGATGTAAGAAAGAATGATGAAACATTTAAAAAAAAAAAATGTGTCGTACATGTTTTCAAAGAAAAATTATTGTCAAAGACACAACAACGGACACATAGTATTCCTATCTACTTTCAAATGATAACCAAATAAAATGTATTCGTTGTTCTTTCATGTTGGATAAAAAAAAAAAAAAACAAAACAAAAAAGTTAATATTTCTTAATCGGTGGTGATCGTAACTCGCGAAAGGACTCGAACACGCTAATCTCTTGATGTCCTCTTTCTCCTTCTTCTCCTTCTCCTTCTCCTTCTCCTTCTCTTCGAATTTCGAAATATCGAGTTTAAGAAAAGAAATAAATTAAATGATACTTCGTTTCTCCAGTATAATAAATCACCGACGCGCCGCGCGCGAGTATAATGGTAAATAATAATCCTCTTTAGATAGATAATTAACATTTTCAAGATTCTTAAAGAGAGAGAAAGGGAGAGAGAGAGAAAGAGAGAAAGAGATGCAGTTTTTAATTAATCAATGAATAATTAAACTTCGTTCAGTCAACGTGACGTTAATTTATCGTAAATTGTCAAATTCATTTGTAACGAAGTATCATTGTTCTCCTCTTTTCTTACTCGATTAATCGATGAAACTTTGTTAGGTCAATCGATATGCGGTTAATATTAATTATATTATTACATTGTGCTTTTAGAATATTTCTAAAATTTTCTTCTAACGATTGATTGATTGAAATCGTTATTTAAAGATAAACAAATAAATTGACCGTATTCGCGTCGGGACCGGACCTGTAAATATAATATTTTCATTCCAAAGATAAAATAGCAAAGCGCGTATTTTAGTTGGGCCTTTTTTTTTTTTTTT